AATGGGATCTTCTTGTGTCATTATGGCATTCGACTGGGTCCAGAAGATTCGTCATTGATCATCATATCACTAGTGGGCAAACTTTAGATATTAAATGTTTCCAAAAATAACAAGGGTAGGACAAATAGCAACCGTAGGTTTCCAATTTAAGAGCCATATTATGACGCTGATTCCACTGCTAAGCGATTCTGTAAAAAAAAGATATGAAAATATTTTCTGCGAAAGATAGCAGAGGCAAACTGTCATTCACTGTTCGAAAGCGCAAAAATCGTCATAGCGTGAGCCCATTATCGGCCCCAAAGGCCTACTTTATTAAGAACTGAGCTTTCATATCGCTTGCTCAAAGCGAATTCGAAGTATTTGAGCAATAAATGGAACGTACTGCTAGTTATTATTTGAATTTTTATAGCTTTCTAAGCAAAATTGGAGTTATTTGAGATGCAGAAATACTGCTTAATAGCGTTGATGTTGCCTCGGTCGATGCTAAAGTACTGCTTGCTAGCGTTGACGGTGTCTTTCTCGGTGCTGAAGTAGCTAGCGTTGTTGTTGGCTCTGTTGAAGAAGTACTGCTTTTCAGCTTGACGTTTTCGCATTTGATGTTGAAGTAGTACTACTTGCTAGCGTTGAAATTGGCTCAGTTGCAGTATTGCTTGCTAACGTTGTTGTTGGCTTTGTCGATGCAGAAGTACTGCTTGCTAGCGTTGAAGTAGCCTAGCCGATGTTGAAGCACTACTTGTTGGCGTTACGTTGCCTCAGTTGATGTTAAAGTACTGCTTTCTAGCGTTGACGTTGGCTCTATCGATGTTGAAGTACTGCTTGTTGGCGTTGACGATGCCTCAGTTGTGTTAAAGTCCTGCGCTCTTGCGTTGTTGGCTGCAGAAGTACTGTTTGCTAGCGTTGAAGTTGGCCTTGTGGAAGTTGGAGTAGTTGTTGCTAGCGTAATGATGGTTCTCTTGAAGTGGTCGTTGCGAACGTTGATGTCTCTGTCGGAGTGGTGATTGCCGTTGAGTTTGGAACTATTTAATGGAAACATCGTAGCCATTAGTTCACATTACTTCTGCTTTTCTGCTGCATTTTCTTACCCCATACCTGAATGAGCCTAAGTTCAAATTTTATTTATATCGGGTGTCTTTACTGGCTTTCGTTCCGTTTCACTTGTCTTCGTTTTTTAAGT